GCCTGAGGTCGCAGCTGCGGGGCTTCATGGCTAGCAGCAGCAACCTTAGATTGCGCGGTGAGTAGGGCGGGTAGCGCAGGTCGTTGACCTTCTCCATCCCAGCGCAGCGCAGCAGGCAGGCGCGGTGGTGGGAGAAGGTGTCAAAGGAGAACTTGCCGTGGTACCGGCCCATCCCGCTGGCACCTGTACAGGAGCACAGAACTCAGTGGTCAGGCCCTCAGCGGCCACCGCACAGAATTCAGACCCAGACACAGCCAGCCACCCCATTGGGATCTAGGTGGGCGACTTCGCCCCTTTGATCCTCAGTTTCCCCATATGCCCAGTGGGTTAAGTAGGAGGCCCTGAGAGGTGGAGAACTCACTCCCGAGCCTGGGGACACCTGGTTTGGGACAAAATTGGCAGCCAGAGGTTCAGGGCAGGGATTCCAGAACCAGACTGACTCGGGTTGAACCCGCCTCTGCCACGAGCTAGCTGTGTCCCGCTGCCTCTGTGTGCTTCAGTCTCCTACTCAGTGACATGAGCAGGGACCCACAGCCTAGGGGTGTGGTGAAATTGAGCCAGTGCTCAGTGCCATGGGCACAGTAAGTGCTGTGTTGTCATGACTTCTCCATGTCTAGGGAGAAGACATAGATCGAGTTGGAGGTAATCAGGGAGGGCTTCCAGGAGTGAGTGAAGCCCGAGGGATATGGAGTTTACCAGATGAAGAGGGTGGGTCAGGACAAGAGAAGCCAGCCATGCTGGCAGGACACTAGGAGTGTTAGGGACCTGGGCAAAGCTCAGTGTGGCAGAAGTAGCAGACAGGAAGGTGGGGGCAGGAGGGACTCCTTTGCCAGACCAGGAAGGGCCGGCCTTAGACAGCTGTGAGTAGAGGCAGCTTGGGCCCCCAGGGAGCTGGGAACTTTTCCTTAGGGGAATGACCAGATCAGATTTTCCATAGACATACCCCACACCCTTCCCTAGGGATGAGGGACTGGCACTAAAGGGTAGTGGCCAGGAAACCCAGGCAAAAACCTAGGCTTGAGGGGTCCTGAGCCAGGCTCAGCAGGGGTGTCCAGCCCTGGCAGCCCTCAGCCCACCCTGTGCTTCTGGGGCTCTAGAGAGGACCTGCTGTTTCCCAGGGCTAAGTGTGGAACGGAGGGTGGAGGGCAGGGCTCAAAGAGGGGACTGGGCCACCCCAGTGACACAGCCTGTCTGGGGCTTGCTGGACCAGACTGAGGTTTCCTGACTCAGGGGTCCAAGACTTTGCAGTTGTACTGGGGGCTCCCCTGGGTCCGCTCACCTGGGCGTCCCTCAGGGGAAGGAGAGCCCTCCCCCGCTATGGCAGCAGATGCAAGATGCCCAGGGCAGAATGGGGACAAGGAAGGGTCAAAGGAGCTGCTACTCCACGGAGTGAAAACTCACATCCTGGACTCTTCACCAGGTCACACTGTTGGATGACATAGACAGTTTGACCACGGCTGCGTATTTTAGAAAACGACCAAAATTTTGTCACTGAGGGTCCACCTACGTGTGTAAGCTCACAGACAGATCTGGAAGATTCTGCCCCGGCCTGCAGGGAGGTGAGCAGGCTGGAGGTGCTGGCCTGAGGGTGAGCGCTACTGGACTCAACAGGAGGGCAGAGGGGGCTCTGCTGCACCTACCCACACCTCCGAAGGGCAGGCTGGTCAAGGTCATGTACATGAAGCCGTCGTTCCCGCAGAAGGCCCCACTGCTGGTCCGGGCCAGCACCTGTGTGACCACCTGGAGAGAGCAGGAGTGGGTGAGGCTGCCCCACGGGCCAGGCCCAAGGCCCCAGCGCCTGTTCCCAGGCTGACCTCGGTGGCACTGGTCTCATGTCAGGGTCTGAGGCCACCATGTTAGCTGAAGGTGAGCGGAGGGACAGGCAGGGTGTGTGTGGCCTGAGCAGGGTGCTGGGGACATGAACTCTCAGGCTGGAGGGCAGGGACACAGAGCGCAGTGACAACGTGCTGGATGGGTAGTCAAGGAGCATCCCAGGGGAGGGATGTGATGTGTCCTGTGTCTCTGGGGGGAAGGGGCAGGAGCTGTCCAGGCAGGGGGACTCCCCGGGCAGAGGAGCCAAGGCACAGGGAAGCAGAGGCCTGTGGGGTGAGCACAGGGGACAGGAGGGCCCAGCCCTGTGGTCAGATTTGTATCTTAGAACCCCGAGCAGGGCCCCTGCTTGGCCCAAGAGGACTTTCCTCTTTAGCCTAAAGGGTTACGTGAGGAAAGGAAGGGACAGGGACCCTGGACACTGAGTCTTGGCGTGACCTCTTTGCTACACTTGGTTCCAACCAACATGGTCCTCGGACGACGGTGTGCCAGGGCTGGTCTGTTGGCGGGTAGAGCGACCCCCTGAGCCTGGGTGCAGACATGGCCCTGGCATTGACCCCAGCATGAGTGGTAAGGACAGCAGGAGCGGAGCAAGGAGTGTCAGGGGCTGCCCCGGGGGAGGACAGTCCTGTGTGTGCCTGTGTCTCCTGTCGCTGTCCTAGGACTGGTGCAGGGTGGTTGGGAGAGCTTGTGAACCGGATGGACTTGCTACAACATTCTCTGTAGCTTTCTTTTCTTTTCTTTTTTTTTGCCATGAGGTATGTGTGTGCTCACCAGAGAAACAGGCAGAGGGGGAGAGAGAGAAAGTAAGAAAGCACCCTCCAGGCGGGATGGCACACACCACAATCCCTCCTCCCCACGGGATTTTGGGCACACATGCATACATCCACACCCCTGGAGTGTTTTCCAAGACACCAGGTCTGAGACTCACAGGGCAGTCAGCTGTGTGGAATCGAGCCGCCTTAGCCACCACTGTGATGGCTGGCCCTGTAGCATTTTCTAAAGGTGGTGCCCAGATAACCCAGACCACCCCGTAGGGGCAGCCAGCACTAGAGTCGAGGCAGGAAAGATCCCGGGAGACCTGGAGTTTCTTGTAGACCAGAAAGAAAGCAAATGGTCATAGCCGCAGAGGCTGGGGCGTGTCCCAGGAACACAGGGCTTCCAGGGCCCCAGCCTGGGACAAGTCAAGTCACGTGGCTTGGGATTGGAACCCACAGGATCAGATCTAAATAAATATGAAAGGGACACATTCCCCTTCCCCAGCTAAAGCTTAATTGCCCAGCCTCTGCTGAGGGTGGGGTACACTTAGGGACTTGCCCCCAAGAATAAAGAAAGGAAGCAATGGGCACTTGCCAATGGGGACCCCAGCAGACACTGCCTTGGTGAGGGATGCAGGTAACCTCCCCAGTAGTGTGTGGAGCTCGAGGACCCTGACGTTGTAGGGAGCACCCACATCCGGACAAGGCACTAGCGATTTATACCGCAGGGCAGTATAAATTAAAGGAAGCCGAGTGTCAGCCAGAGAAGGTCAGGAGAGACTTGTCTAGAATCATGGGACACAGATGCTCCACAGCTGCAGTCAACAATAGAAAATAACTGGCTCTACCTTGTTTCTCCGTCCGCCATCGCTCTATAACAGAATAAACCTGGGAACGGCTCGGGGCTGTGGCGATCTCCATCAGAGATGCACAGACCGCCTGATCTCCACTTTTCTCTACTTGTGTGTCTGTCCTTTCTGAATCCACCGCTGCTCCCACTCAAGGTCCACATCCACACCCTGTAGGCTGATGCATGACATGATAGAAAGGCCCAGGTCCTGTGTCCAAGGCATTCCCTCCAGAACCCACGGCCCTGACGTGGCTGTGAGGATGCACCACCCCTGGGATGCGGACCTGCTACAGGGATTGGCCGTCCCAGAGCAGACGAGGGCCTAAATGGAGAGACTGGGGCAGTCTGAAGAAGGTAGGGGGGTGGTTAAGAGGGATACACTGATGTCTCATTCTTACGTCTGACCAGTGTGAGGGCCCTTCAGGGGAACCTGGTGAGTGTAAATGAGAATCCTCTGTACCATTTGCAACTTTTCTGTAAACTGAAATTTTTTTCCCAAATGAAGTTTTATTTAAGGGACCAGCAGGTGGCGTGGTGGTTAAGACACTGGATTCCCACATAGCAGACTGTGGTTCAAGTCCTAGACCCAATAGCTTGAAAATCACTCTGGGGATGTGTGTGTACATGCCCAAAATCTCCACAGGAGAATGGAGGAGAAGGGATTGTGGTGTGGCCTCCCCCCCTGGGGGTGATTTCTCACTCTTCCTCTCTGTCTCCCTCTCTGGCAAGCACACGTGTCCTATGACAAAAAACTTAATAAAAATTTTTATTTAAGAGATAGATTTGTTCAGACAGAATCTATTGAGAGGTGGCTAGAGGCACTAAAGAGGGTGGAGGGACAGTTTGTGCCTCTAGGTGTATCCTATGCTGGGGACCTCCAACCTCATGCACCCTCAGGACTCCCAATCTGCCGCTGTCCTAGGCATGAAAAAAGGGTGGAACCAGGGCTCATTAGACCCTTTCAGTCTCCAGACTGTCATGTATGCCTTTGAAGCCAGCACAGGGGGTGGGAGGGTGTAGACACTGCAGCCACTAGCCAGATGTGAGGAAGAGGGAAGGTGGGGCTGACGTAGAGGGGACATTGGACACTGGATGACGCCCCGAGGCCCCACCCGCTGAAGGCCCAGGAGAGTGTGTCCCAGACTGGGGGACGTCAGAGCCCAGGGGGCCCCACCCTGAAGTCCCTGTTGCCTCACTGCCCAGCCCCGCCCAGCCCCACCTGGTTGCTGTTGGAGAAGGCGTACAGGGCCAGGGGCTTCTCCCGCCGGTTGATGAAGTCCACGGCCTCGTCCAGGCCCCTGACGTTCACGATGGGCAGGATGGGCCCGAAGATCTCCTCCTGCATCACGGGCTCCGTCTCCCGCACATCCACCAGCACCGTGGGGGCTGCCGTGCAGGGGGACGGCTCAGCCAGTGCCGAGGCCAGGACACCCCAGGGGACGGGGCGCTCGGGCTGGCCAAGGACCTGGGCTTCAGGCCGGGGAGTCCAGGCTTTGGTTGTTGTAGGGAAGGAAGTTCTCCCAGGTCCCCAAAAGAGACCATAAGGGCTGTGAGGCCCAGAGAACCCCCACCCTTGGTTTCATGGAGTTGAGGGAATCTGACAACAGCGTAGCCTGAGGTCCCAGTGTCACCATGAGCTGTTGAACCACATGGGCCTGGGGACTGGGGCTCAGGATAGAGCCGTCAGGTTAGAACTTAGGGCTCGTGGGTTCATAGTCTGGCTTGTGGCCTCGTGGAATGGCAGGCGGTGGGACAGACATTTAGGACCTTAGTGCTCTGACCCCTAGGAGTTGGGTGCAAGCTTAGAGGACCTAGTGTGGGACCAGAGTTTGGAATGGTGGAGTCACGGGTTCAGAACCTCAGTGGTCTAGGGTGTTGGTGTCACTGAATCGGGGCTCCAGGAGCTATGGGCTGAGGCCAGGCAGAGGCAGTGGGGCCCCTGGAGCCTGGGGGCCTGAGGGATCTGGTGGGGGCCCAGAGTCGTGGCCCCGCCAGAGTGGAGGATCTTAACCAAGAGGCGGGACATGGGGAGGGACTCACCAATGTAGCGGTCACTCTCGTCGCTCTGGCCAACCGCGGCCCA